AGACTAGGGAGACTGGGAGAAGCTTTTCTCGCCCCGGAGGACACGGGTGGCGACCCGCCGCCCGTGAGCTCCGGGGCGAGAAAAGCCCCGTTCGTAAGTGCGGATCCGACGTAAGTCTGGGACTGCCTGTATTTCTAAATAATTTCGAAATAACGGACAGATCGTTCCGAAATCTATAATCGTCCCGTCTACAAGGAATAACGCCTATTTCAAAATAGCCCCTCAGCAGGGCCATTCTAAGTTATTCCTCCCCAGTGCCTTCTGGGTCTCTAAATTGAGGTAGCATGTCTACATTAGGGAAACCTGCCTTGGACTAATTTTGAGGCTTCCCTGCAGTGCAGATGTGCTTATTTGAAATAAGCTGTTTTGGAATAATTCTTCTGGAATATGTTATTTCAAAATAAGCATGCAGTGTGGACGTACCCTCTGTCAATGCAAAAGTTGATCATGTGGCTGCACTCTGCCGACACAAGAAACATTGTGTGTACTTGCAACAGTGGTTTAATTAAGGCACTTTTATTAAAGCAGCGTCAATTTTGGTAACAAAACGTAGACATAGCCTAACTGCTCTGTCTCTCACTCATATGTACTCTGATCTTAATTACCTTTTTTACACTGATACTCAACTCTGTGTATCCTTCACCACTTTTTAAAGACTCCTCCTTAAATACCTTCTTTATCTGTTTTATCCAAATAAATGTATGATTTTGGTTAAGCTTACTACAGTTCTTCCCTTTGGCAAGAAGAATATCCTTGAACACAATTCCATTTCTGTCTCTCCCCGCAGTTCAGATCTGCCTTTTCTCTCTGTTGAGTATATTAATCTTCTTATCTCAGTTATCTGTAAATCTGTCTATTGCCACTGTCAAAACATAATTTGTTTGTGTAACTTCCTTGACTTCATCTCTAGAAATTTCACCTTTGCCATAATTAACTACTTGACTATTGCACTTCTTTCCTGTTTGATCTCAACAAGCCCCAGGTCTCCATACTGCAGAATGCCTGCTGTCTTGCTTATCAGTGAAGCATATCAAATCACCATATCCTAAATCACCTCTATTGGCTTCCTGTTTACTTCGGTTCCCATTTTAAAACACTCTATGGAAAGTATCAGTTGAGCTCATATGTGAAGTCTGACTCTGACCTTTCCATTCCATTCAGTAGCATCTCTCTGCTTCTGTCCTTTCCTGTTGTCTTACTGGAGCTAAATGTCTTTCCTCCTGCAATTTTCCCTGTACCTCATCATTTCAACACCTCTTCCCAAATTTCATCTTCAAATGTATCTTTTCTTCTTTTTTCCTGTTCATTTCTGACTCTTATGTATATTACTTTTTTGTGATTTGTACCATGTTGCATTCTCTGATGATCTGTAATTCTGGTATAATATAACTGCAGTTTGTGTAAATGACACACAAAATAAAGTTGTGTTGCGTAAGTGTGTTGTTCTGCTATATTTTTAGGGACTCTGTCAGTGTTCAGGCCAAACTTTCACTACTCTTAATTTTTTTTTGTTTTCTGTGAGAGTTATTTTCTGTAGTCTTTTCCTTTTTATTAATCTATTCTGTAGTTTGATGATAATATTAAAACAAGAAGCTGCCATTTCAGCTACTTATATATAAGCATATAAGCTGACTTCAAGTTTCATAATTGTGTGTATGTAGAGATAGTTTCCCATATAGCTAGGTGCCAAAAGGAATAGAGGCTGCTATATTGTCCAACTATTCCTTCTGTAGGGCCTTCTATGGTTGCCCCATATGACCTCCAGACTGAAATGTTACAGAGGCCTAGATAACAAGAAAGAAGTGGTCATAATCATTATATTAAAATCATATGGAGAAAAGTACTTTTAACTACCAAAATAGTCTCCCATAACTGTGGCTCTCCTTATTTGTTGTTCTACACCTCCATAGTGCTTTTCAATCCTTTGTATTGCTGACAATCTAAACCAATCACAAGAGCAGTTGGCATCCCTGCTATACTCATTGGCTACGTCTAGATTGCATCCCTTTTTCACAAAAGGGATGCAAATTAGACGTATCGCAATTGCTAATGAAGCGAGGATTTAAATCTCCCCCGCTTCATTAGCATAAAAATGGCTGCTGCTTTTTTTTCGGCATGGAGCTTTGCCGGAAAAAAGCGCCAGTCTAGATGCCGATCTTTCAGAAAATAAAGCCTTTTCCGAAAGATCCCTTATCCCAAGTTTCATAATTGTGTGAATGTAGAGATACCCCAAGAGGGATAAGGGATCTTTTGGAAAAGGCTTTATTTTCCGAAAGATCCGTGTCTAGACTGGCGCTTTTTTCCAGCAAAGCTCCGTGCCGAAAAAAAGCGGCAGCCATTTTTATGCTAATGAAGTGGGGGAGATTTAAATCCCGCTTCATTAGCAATTGAGATACGTCTAATTTGCATCCCTTTTACGAAAAAGGGATGTAATCTAGACGTAGCCATTATGTAGCTGTTTCCTTCAACTTTCTAGCATCACTTCCAGATTGACTTTCTGCCATTTGACTTTTATCCATGTTCCTATCTTGGAAAACAGTCTAACTGCTCCATCTGAGTTTACCAGAAACCTAGAGCTGCATGTTCTTTGTATTCAGATACCCTTAGACTAGAACCTCACTTTCTCTCACAATAGCCTCGCGTATACATTGTACAATAAGGTTGATAGATTAAACCTTCTGAAATCCCACGTGTGGGAGTCCTTGGAGGCAATGAATGATCTGGTGTGGTCCTCTGGGAATTTTTTGGAAGGAAAGGAATCGCAACTCTGTGATCCCTTCCAGTCCTGCCATAATCCATGGTCAGGTTGGCAAAACCTTGCTGTCATCAGTCAACTGCTTGATGATCTAAAAAATCCAATGTACTCTCCCCTGCCCATTGTAGGAGACCACAACCATTGTAGTGTCCATACCATACTTGGGCCTGGGACATCTAAGTGCTCCAGGTGACTCCAGAGTTGCTTCTTAACATTGCTTTTGCTTTTCAATGACATTGGGAAAGCAAGCAACATAATCATTTTATTTTTAAGATTCTAGACAATTGTTGAGAATAATATAAAAGGGAGATTTTTATAAGTTTATAAGAACATTTTACAAGTTTATATTTTTACAAGTTTACGAGAAAAATAGTTGATATTGTCACCTTAAATCATATCTACACTATCCCAATAAATGAGTTATTTAATTTTATTGTAATTCACTTCATTTTATTTTTCAGTACCTTCCTCAGACTGCTGTGACCCATCAATTGCAGCTCAGATTGTTTCAAAAGTAAAAGAACTAGGTAATTTTTAACAAATGCTCAAACTTTTGATAATCTAGAATAATTTTTATTTGGAATGTAGAAATTGTTTTCTTTATTATTTTTATCATAGATGCACCCACTAAAAATCTTTTATCTTAGGAGAATGTCTATTGTTACTCCCTTGTCTTTATCAACTATTATTTGACACACCCAGTTTGTTACAATGATCTTAAATTAGGCACTGACCCTGCAAAATTTAAGCATGTGCTTAACTTGAATCTTCTGAGTAGGGCCCTTCCAGATTCCTAGTCCATTTTGGTCAATTTCAGTCATAGGGATTTTAAAATCCCAAATTTTATTATTTTAGCTATTTAAATCTGAAATTTCACATTTTTGTAATTGTAGAGATCATGACCCAAAAAGGAGTTTGGGGGAGTCACAGAAAAGGTATTGTAGGAGGGAGGGTACCTGCTACCCTTACTCGAGTGCTGATGCTAGCAGTGGCACTGCTTTTGGAGCTGGGCAAATGTCACAGCAGTTACTGTTATTTGTATCTAGTAGCATTCAAAGGCCTCATTTAAGTCCCATCATATTTAATGTTGTCCTGACATATGGCAGAAGTCAGCACCTATTATAAGAAATTTACTGTGTTTAAAAATAATTACAGTATAACAAAATTGTTGTATGATGCAATACATAAAAATGTAGCTGTAAATATTTGGGTTACTTCTTCACTAGAGAATGGGTATGTGCACAAACCACCTGTAGATTTACCTTTTTGGGACGATGTGCAAGAATACATATTTTGTTCATTTGTTTAAAAGGCATGAATGTTACTGATATTGAAAAATCCATAAGCGTTGTTATCCAGCCAGTTGCCTCACTGGTGAAAACCATTATTGTGCTAATTGCTTGTGTGCTATCCTTGAGTGAAGGTTGCCAAACTTGAACTCTGCTAATTACTAGAAGAAATGAGTAAGAATCAAGAATCCCTGCCTACACTGAGAAGAAACGGCTGTCAGCACATGATTCTCACCAGACCTCAATAGCCTTGTCACATCACTGGAGAGAGGCAGTCTAATGGGTCTCAAGAAACCTGGGTTCAATTCCTGGCTGAGAGTTTGTCTACGCTTGAAATGTTATAGTGGCACAAATGCTGCCATGTAGACCAGGGTGGGAACCTTTTGAGTCAGGGGCCAGATACAAAGTGAGAAACAAATAAAGAAAACCCAAACAAACAAACACCCAACCTTCACTGATGTAGCCCCCAACTGACGCACCTCACTCCCCTCATATTCTAGCCTCATGGGAACGACGGGGGGAGGACTGAGGTTCAGGTCTTCCTCCAAACCAGATTAACTCTTCTGGGGACTTAGTAGATTTTGTGGATCCCGGTTGCTCTGGGGTGGGGCCAAAAATGAGAGGTTCAGTGTGCAGGAGGCAGGGGTGCTGGAGTGAGCTGAAGGTGGTGTGTAGGGTCTGAGCAGGAGGGGGCTGAGAGAAGGGAATCTAGGCAGGAGGTAGGGTTCAGGAGCAGACTGTGGGTGTGGGAGCTGGGTGGAATGTAGGATGCAGGAGAAGGCTGGGAGTGCGGGGTCTGAGCAGGAGATGAGATGCAGGGGCAGGCTGGGGGTGGGAGGGAGGGAGGGAGGGTGCAGGAGCAGAGTGAGGGTAATTTGGGAGGGTGCTTACCTGCACAGCTCCCTAGGGACACAAGTGACTTCATGCCTCCTCCTGCTTCCCAGGCACAGCCCCCTATTGCTCACATTGGCTGCAGTTTCAGCTAATGGGAGCAACAGAGGGAAAGCCTCCAAGCAAGCAGTTCACTGTGCTGGCATTTCCCCAGCTGGTAGGGAGGGGGAATGGCAGTGCAGCGAGTTGCTTCCTCATTCGACCAGGCAGAGCCTGTGGCTTGGATCCAGCCCTGTCCTGACCCACTCCAGCCTATGAGGCTTGCGGCTCCTCCTCCCCAACCTCTCCTACACAGTGGGGAGCCAGTGCTGGCAGCCCAGCCACATGGGAGGAGGTCTGGGTGCAGGGGGAGCCCCAAGCCTCACAGGCTGGATCCAGGCAAGCTGTGGGTCTTAGACTCCTTATCCTGGTATAGACATTATCTGTAGTGACAGAAGGGGTTCTTCCATTGGTGTAATTATCCACTTCCCTGATAACTGGTAGCTAAGTCAACAGAAGAATTTTTCCAGGTACCTAGCACTGTCTGCACAAGGTTTAGATCAACTTAATTACATTGTTATGCAGTATGGATTTTTCACCCCCACAAGAATGTAACTGTGTCTACCTAACTTTTTACTGCAGACTAGACCTCACCTGCAGACGTCGTATGTGACCTTGGAAAATAACTTAATTTACCCCCGTCCATTAGCTCCCCTTCTGAAAAGTGAGGATAATTTTTCCCTACCTTGCGAGGGTTTTGTGAGGATAAAATCTGTTAACAATTATGAGACATTCCAATACTACAGTGCTTGAGGACCACGTAAGCATCTAGATAGGCAGTTTGTTAGATAGGTAACATGGGGTGCCCTGCAGCCCCCAGAGAAGGGCTCACCACATTTTTGCAGGCTCAGTAGGGCTTAGCAGCCAGGGAGTGCTTGGCATTTGGGAGATCATATGAAATCCCCACCCTGAGCAGAAGGATGGGGGAGGAGGGCGAGTCCAAGTCTCCCAGGATTCTGGGAAAGGGCTGCCTGGGCCACCCCCCTTTTCTGACCCTCCCCTGGGCAGCGGCCTGGCCTAAGCTTAAGGTGGACAGAGAGTCAGGAGACCAAAAATATGAGACTTGTCTAGTTATATGACTGTGTCAGTTAAGAGTACAGCTCTGAGTACTTTTGAAGATGACAGTTGCTGTAATGTAAACATTCTTTTCAATGAGTTCTTGCAGTGTGTCATGTTGTACTATTGTATTTGACATTGCACAGTAAATTATAAAGCTTTGTCTCTAATTTATAAGATAATGTCAGGTACCTCTGTATTATTTATACCAATAATCCTTCAAGTTCTAGTGCTTGTAATCTATCACACTTTGACATGCATGTGAATGGTTAACTCTTTAAAGAAGTGTTTAAATAATTCATCTGAGATTTATGAGTTAAAGTATAAAAAGTTTTATATTTATGTAATTTGTATAGACCCACCGAAGACATATACCCAAGATGGAGTCTGTTTGACAGAATTGGGGATGTCTCAGTTACAGAGCCTCACTGTTACAGTACCAAGAAGAAAACGGACAAAACCAAAGCTTAAATTGAAGATTATAAATCAGAACAGTGTAGCTGTGCTACAGACACCACCAGATATCCAGTCAGAGCATTCGAGAGATGGAGAGATGGATGACAGTAGAGGTAATGGTCAGTATTGCTTACTACTCATAAAGGTGCTTCTATTTCACTCTAGTACTAAATGGTTAAGATGGACTAGCTCTGCAAAACATAATCTTTGGTGGTCATAGCTGTCCATGTCAAGGAGATGGACCTTTCTGTTATTTTAGTTCGTGTATCATGTATCCAATACAGAAACCATATCTTTAAGGCTAACAGCAGGGGCAGCACACAAGGTCTGGCTGCTCTTCCATGGAGCACCAGCACTACATCTGAAAATTTTGTGCACTGTGCATTCTGAGACTCTCAGACCCAGCACAAATACTGTTAAAAAGTTATAGGACCAGTGCTTAATAAAGAGACATCCAGACTTGCTGGGCTCTTTCAAATATGGCATAAAAAAGCACTGAGAGGTAGATGAATTTCTTGAGAGTTAACTCATTTCTGTCGGGCCAAAAGAAATCTGATGATTGGTCCTGCTTTGGGCAGGGGGTTAGACTCGATGACCTCCTGAGGTCTCTTCCGCCCTATGGTTCTCTCTAGATTCAAAGAAGCTCTGGGAAAAGCATGGAATTGCCATTTCTGACAGAGAAGTTGTCCCCAGTCTGAAGCAATACATTCGTTTACTTCTCTGGCTAAATAACCTGATGCTTGACTCCATATCCCAAACAAGGCAGAAATTGGATTAAAAAATGGATTGCATAGTCAATCTGTATCTGTCTTAAGTGGATTCCAGTGTATATACTGATAAATGTAGTGTGGACTTTCACGTTAATCTGAAACCTGAGGAAAGGCTTACTAAATGCAGGTGTGAAAGTCATGAAATAAATTACATAAGTGTCTATTACAAGTGGAATGCAGACATCCCAACTCACCACAGTCTGAAGTGCTTTCTGTTTATGCAACATCGTCTTTGCTGTTAATCAGATTAAATGTCATAAGAGGCTTTCTTGTAGCTACAGAGAGTTCTTGAAATAACAGAGTGATTTAACTGTAGTATGGTCTCGTGTTAAGTTGTTGATATAAGTAGCATGACAGTTGTTTGATTGGCGTATCTTTAATTGTAATGGCTAGAAGAAATGTATATTTTTATGGTATGTTTATTTTTAATGGCAGTGGAACAGGGATCTAACTTTTGATTTCAGTTCTCATTCCCTTAGCTATATTTTTTCTTTAAGTGACTATGATAAAATGTTTCAATGGATTTGAAAAATGGCCTGGCTTGAGGCATGTTAAAAGCCTCAGAATGGCTCTTTGGTTAATATTTAATAGATTTGTGCTTTGAAAGAAACTAGGAAACCCTTGGACAAAGAGAGCACTGGGAATGTATTGCACAGAGGATCTTTTGGGTAGCCAAGAAAACTTGGATCCTTTTTGGGGCTAGAAGTTTTGCTGAGAGGGCTTGTTCATTCTGTAAAGGAAATAAATGACTCAGTGTTATTCAGTAGAGACATTCCTGGACAGTCCAAAAGTAGAGCTCATAGACTTCAGAAGGAGTATTATCCAGTTAAAAGGTCTGGTCAGGAGTGCAGCCTTTGGCGGTAAGGCATATGGTTGCTAGAAATCATGAAAGAATCTCAGCCTTCAATACTCAGCAGTGTAAATAGACTGCCCAGAGGTGCATTTATTAAAAAAAATTTTTTTTCAGTGTATGTGTGTTTAAAGATAATGTTGTGCATATGTATTAAAGCAACCTTGCAAAATTATTAAAGGTAACCAGCTCGTGCACATTTACTTTCCCCACCCTTTACAATAATGGTTGATAAATAAAAAACTAAGTACATTTTGCTCACTTCACAGAGATACATTTAGCATTCACCCTTGACCACATTGCATCTTTGTCGACTAAGTCTTTACTAATGCTCCCCACATTCAGGATAAAAGACCTGAAAGTCCATCACCTTGAAAAGAATGTTTCACTAGAGAATGACTTCTCCAGGTTCTGCAACAACTTCCCAGATTCTTAAATGCCCCAGGAAAGAAAAGCAATCGAGACCCTGATTCCCAATGTCTTACAGTTAAAAAAATATTTTTAAATGTCAAGACCTGTATGATGCAGGGGGGGGGGCGATATTGGACATCATTTATTGACACTCATTTTAGAATAACTAACACTGAATGAATGCAGGTGTACTCCATTGTTCTCAGCAGCATGGGCAACCACATGCACATCAGATTTGACCTCTGCTGTCTAGACTGGCTTTAGTGAGTTCAAAGTTTCTGTTATATAAGCATTTTTATTACAGGCAGTCCCTGGGTTACGTACAAGATAGGGACTGTAGGTTTGTTCTTAAGTTGAATTTGTATGTAAGTCGGAACTGGTACATATTTTGGGGAGGGACGGGGAGCTGGAGTTAGGTGAAAAAGACCCTGATTCTCATACAACTTCCTTATTCTAAGAAAAACACATACAGTTTTGATATGAAGGTTTTTTTGGTTGATATTTTAATTAAAAATTGATCATAAACTTCAGTGATTCATGCTATATCCAAATCTTCCTGTTGGGGTGCCTGAAAGATCCCAGTTATTCATTTAATAGTCAGAATCTTTGTTTTTTATAACTAAAAAAAGTTTATTCAGTGCATATTACTGTTCCAAATAGAATTTGCTACAGATGGTTCAGTGAAATGGGTATTAAGTGTAATCAATAGTCATTGGAGAGCACAGTAAAATATTGATACAATCAAAGCTATTGGTGTATTCTGCTGAGCAGAAAATGGAAATCCCTTCCTGTGAAGTGTGTGTGTGAATTTATCCACAGGATTAATTTTAAAGAAAAATTCTGTGTTGGGAACAGGAGTTTAGCCACAGGTGGGTCCTCATTGTCCACTCACCCACTTTGCAACCAGACCCATCCCCTCGGGGCTTACCCTGCTCTGCTCCAGCCAGGGTGTGGGGTTGGGGCTTATCCCCTCTTCCCTTCTGTCCTGCTCCTCCCCATTCTTGCCCACCCACAACACTGGGTAATTTTTCAGCTTCACCTCTGCCAGGCTGGAAGGGACTTGTTAATTTCACGTGACGCTAACAAGATACTTGCAGCTCTAGTGCTGAAGAGGGAAAAAGCTGTTGCTCCCAAGGTGGGGACTGTAACACAATGGGTCTCACTGCCTGCTGCTCCTGCTGTTCCCTAGGAAATTAATTTTTCCGCTCTGGGGTGCCCCCTTTTGGCTGGTGTCTTTTTCCCCCCCAGCAGACCCACGTCCTCCGCGGCAAGAAGAGCCGCTCCGCGTCTCCCTGGTCTGCTGGGGGGAAGCGCCCCCCGCGCCGCCGGAGGCGGCGACAGTGGGGGAGGCACCCCGCACTAGCTGCGCCCCCCCGTTTGTAACTAGGGATTCGACGTAAGTCAGATTGATGTAACCCGGGGACTGCCTGTATTCAGTGGCCTGGGACAAAGATATCTAAAAAATTGCCTAAAGCTCCGGCATGAGAACTTTGAATGACAACTTTGCTTTTCTCACTCGGTGAAACTTTCTGACATTACAGTAAAGCTTGTCTCTGCAGGACAGAAGACAGAGCTTTCTCAGGAGCAGGCCCAAAACTGTGGAAAGACCTCTCATAAATCTGAGGACCATCATAAAACCTCACCACCTTCCAAAGCAAGTTCCAGGCTTGCTTTTTTCACCTGCCTTCTCTACAGGAACAGAGTGCAGTCTGTACATTAAACAAACACACACACGAAAACAACCCAAAATTAAAGCCTACCTAAATAAAACACTCCACTGCACTTGTAATTTCCCCTTAGAGACGAATATGAGAGAGGAAACAAACTGTATGTGCGTCATGTTAGTCACATCGTTTAATGCAGTACTTCAGAGCCCTCAGGTATTACAGTGATGAGGAAAGTATAAGAAATTCAATAGAATAAAGCTATAAGAATTAAAGATTCATGTAGATGGAACATTTTGCCACTACAGATGTCTGCATTCTCCTGTTATTAGAGGGAAAATCTAACTCCCTTCAATGTTTTTGACTCTATATAGGCTAAATGAAAGCATTTTTCTCCTCCTTTTAAGTTTAATTTTTAGGTTAGTTTATAATTCTGTCTTTTCTCCAGAAGGTGATCTTATGGACTGTGATGGAAAATCAGACTCCAGCCCAGAACGAGAAACTGTGGATGATGACACTAAGGTGACAGAAGGAGCTGATGGAGTCAAAAAGAGAAAGAGAAAGCCATACCGACCTGGTAGGGTACATAATGTAGATGATTTTGTATCAATTTTTTGTCACGTTTAAGTTTTCTACTACAGTTGAACCTCTCTAATCCAGCACCCTTGGAACCTGACCGGTGTTGAACCAGAGAATTTGCTGAACCAGAGGAGGTCAATATTATCTAGCAGCACTGCCAACATTTCCACTGCTTACTGGGCTTTAGAAGACATTTTGGGTTAAATTAGAGCTAAGTAACAGCATAGATCACAGAGCCAGGACTGGTGGCTGTAAACAAACTTTATGGGACTGTGGGAAACTTGGCCACACTCATAATAAGTGGATGTCCAGCTAACTAAAATCATGCTAGAGCATGGATGTTGCTGGACCAGACTAGAGAGGGTCAATTTATATGTAAATATTTTATTAATTTAAAAATAGGAAGATTAAACAGCATGTTTAGGAAATGCTTCTTTGGGTGATTTTTTTCTCATTGTGCAATCTAATAGTTTCTCCAATTGTGGTTAAAAATAATTTACAATCTGATAATCTTTGTATGTTTTCCCAAGTTGTTGTACAGCAACAGTCCTTTCCTTATGCTCTAAGTATTGATTTACAATCAGATTTGCAACCAATTTTAACGTAATAAAACAAAGCAAAGCACTGTGCACCTCTAATTGGATATATGTGTTGCAGGTAAACATACTCTATTGTATACAATGTTTATCTATGACTCAGTGAAGTATTTATGGGACGCTTTTTGCTTCTTTAAAAATAATACTTTTGTAGATATACACTACCTCTTTTCTGAAGTGTCTGGTAAATAGGGCCCTACCAAATTCTCGGTTATGAAAAATGTATCATGGACCATGAAATCTGTTCTCCTCCATGAAATCTGTTCTTTCGTGTGCTTTTATCCTGTATTGTACTATACTAGAGGGTAAAAGTATACAAAATTACATGGTGACTTTACGTCAGGGTGGGCAAAAGGGCCTCCGCAAACCGGATCCAGTCCACCAAGTGGGTTTATCCAACCCACAGATGCCCTGTTGCTCCCCCTGCTAGGGTTGCCAGATGGGTCTCCCAAAAAATACCAAATACATGGGCTAAAAATTTGTCAAGCCAAAAAAAAAAACCAAACACATATCCTGTGTGGCTGCTACCAGGAGCCACCAAGCTGGGAACAAAGGGGGAGGCAGCAGAGCCTGCTCTGCAAAGCAGCCACCTGCTACCCAAAGCAGACAGAGGCAGACCCTGGGGCAACACAATGGCGGTGGGGGCAGGCGACCATGGGTAGGAAGATGACTCCCCCATAGCCAGGTCTGTGGGTGTCCCTGTGGGAAGAAGCAGAAATTCCACCCCAGTCAGTTTTGGCTTAGAACCCCTGGAAGGCTCCTAAACGCAACAACAAAGCACCTGTGAGTTTCTCTCCTGGACTACGGCTCTAGAATGCGCTTGAACAGCGCTCAGGAGCAGGGACAGGGCTTCTCCTCCTCCCCAAGGCATCACTCCTCAGATGCAATCAGCTGAGGGCTCCCAGAGCCAACCACGCCCCGCCTCCCGCCACTCCTCCCGCCTGGATTCTGCGCGCAACCAGAGGCTCCCGGCGCCACTTCCCACACACTCTCCCC